GGGGGGCTGGCTGCAGAGCTGGGGGGCACAGAACCCGGGGGGTGGGGGGCAGGCTGCAGAGCTGGCCGGGAGCCAGGGGCAGGTGTTAGGAAGGAAGGGACGGGAAGGAGAGTTGCCAGGGTATCCCTGCCAGGTCCCCCCCCCAGGCCGACTGGAGAGCGGGCAGGGAGCAGCAGCTCCCTGGTGGCCTGGGTTAGTGACTGAGCCCCCTGGAGTGAAAAGCCCTGGGCTCGGCCCCAGGGGGTGGAGTCCCCTGGGCTGGGGGTGAGGGCTAGTGGTGTGGGGGTGGGCAGGTGCTGCTCCCTGCTGCCCGGCTGGGAGGCGGTTCCCCATGGGATGGGGCTCTTGCGTAACTTTAGAAGCATGTTCATTCCCTCCAGGAAGAGGAACAAACTCCCTCCCTCCCTCTCTCGGAGAAAGGAGAAGGATCCCATCCGAGCGCCCCCTGGCCAGGGCCGTACTGCACCCTCCTGGGAGGAGGTGAGTCTAGCCTCTCGTACCCTGGCGGGGGGCGGCTTCTGGTGGTGGGGAATTCCCCAGGCAAGGGCCCTGACTCAGGGCGCAGAGGGGAGATCACCCCCCTAACCTGGACCCTGCTTTGCATAGCCTGGGCTCCTGCGCAGCCGCTGGGGAGCATCCTGTGACTGCCCCGGCATCCTCTCCGTCCCCAGCCTATGCAGCTTCACTCCTCCTTCCTCAGTCGCTCTCCTGCCTCCAGCCCCCTCTCGCTGCTGACCCCCCCCCCCACTTCCCCGGCCAGCTGTAAAGGAAACAAACTTGTCACTAGCTCCCAAGAACTTGCTTCCTCCTCCTCCTGCTCCCACGTGCCCGGTCAGCCTGTAACCCCCTGACCGCGTCCCCTCCTGTTGCTCTGCGCCCTTCTCACCCGGATTCCTCCCACTCTCCGGGCTTGGGCTGTGTCTCCTCCAGCTCCCTGCCTGCTCCCCTCCAAGCTGGCTTCGGCTCTCCTTGGCGCCCTCCTCCATGCTGTAAGTCTCTGCTCCCTCCTCTTCCTGCCCGCTTAGTTCCATGCCTGTCTGCTCGCTGGCTCCCTGTCCCTGGCTGGGCCGCCCCTCTCCCCCAGGCCTGTTGGTGTCACTCAGGTTTGTCCTCTTGGAGGCCTCGTTTGCCCTAGTGTTTCCATCACCACCGGTCCACTGGGGCTTCTCAAATCTCTCTGAGCTGGGCCTCTGCCTCTCTGCCCTGAGGTGTCCAGCCGCCGCTCTCCTCCTCCTCGGGACCTGACCTGGCATCTCCATGACTGCTCCTGTCTCCCTTGCCCATCAATTCGCTGTCAGCTTTGTCTCCCTTTCCCTGTGTCTGAGCCCTGGTCACTGTCACTTTCTCTCCAGCCATTCCACGCTGCTGCGAACACAGCGCTGTCTCCTGCTGCTCCATTCTGCCTCATCTAATTGTCTCGTCCCCTCGCTGTCTGAGCACCGCCCTAGGAGGTAAAAATAGCATCGCAACAATTCCTCTGCCTGCTGGCCCATCAGAGAGAGATGGCTTCAGTGGGTACCAGGTTTATTTGCCTTTAGCCTGGCTCTGAGAGTCTGAGAGCAGCGCTGTGCGGCTACGGGTCTCTTGTCCCTGGTGGCAGAGAGTTCCTAAGGCTAGGGCCAGTTCCTACACTTGTCTCCTGCACTTGTGAGTCTTCTCCAGTTGGGCGACAGTGGAATTGTTCTGTCAGAACTGAGCTGTGGTGTGAGCTTGGGGTTGTGGAGGGAAGGGTCATGTACCCACAGGATCGGGGCAACCCCTCCAGTTTCACAACAGTCTGATGGAGGAACCCCTTCAGTGTGCCGGAGCCCCAGGAGTCTCACTCAGCCTCCGGGGCAGGCCTCACCGCCTACTGAAACTGAACCTCTGGGGTGCCAGCCCCCAACTGCACCCCGTGAGCTCTGCCCAGCGAGAGCAACTGAGCCAGACTCCTAGCAGAGACTCACCCGCTCCGCAGGGACCGCTGCACCTCAGCACGTTTACAGTCGGGTTTATTAGTGTCTGTGCGCCGATGCCATGCGCCAGTGCTGAAGGGTAAAGCCGAGTCCATGCTGGTCAGCCCCGCGCACCAGCCAAGCTGCCGGGAACCCCATTTTCAGGTGAGAGAGAGCTTCCTTCAGAAGCCAACACTCACCCCTCAGCTGGGAGCTCAACCCTCGGCAGGGAAATCCTGGAGGAGCTGCTGCTCCATTGTCTCGCTGACCCCCTTGGTGACCTGGGGTGGTTTCAACCAGATCCTTAATGACTCTTCATTCCATCCAGATGGTAATTCTGTTCACCCCCCCACCCCCCTCGCAGCCATGCAAAGTGTAGGGGAAACCAAGGCACATGCTAGTTTCAGGGAAAAATTACAAACAATTCCCACTTTGTCACAAGGGCTCTCGGAGCTAGGGCCAGCCCCATGGAGGGCTTTGCAAATCAGGGCAGAAACCTTGAATTAGCCTCTGTTCAGTGGGGAGAAGGTGCAGAGTGGAGAACTGTTATTGGAGCCAGCCCTACGCTGCTGAGCAGACAGGCTGCTGTGTTCTGCACCAGCGGGAGCTTTCCGAGGCTGTCCAGCCGCATCTTCAGGGGCAGTGCACGTGCAGGAGCGCGGGTGTGAAGCAGTTCGGTTTGTGGCACACACGGCGTGCCTGACTCGTGCCCACAAGTGCAAGGAGATGAATGTGGATCTAGCCCTGGCCCAGCCAGAGGCTCCCCCGTTCCACCAGCCCAGCCTGAACTCTGCCTGCCTTGCGCCCTTCGCCAGCCCCTCCCACCTGGGCAACTCTCTGCCAGGCCCACTCCAGCACACACTGCAGTGCCGGGTTGGATGCTGGGATAGGGGGGTGGCCGTTCCTTTACCAGCCCTGGTGTGGTTCTCTGGGCAAACGGGTCCCTTCTGGCCTTCGAATGTGAGTGACGGTCGTTTGGGTCAAGGGGTGTCTGGAGCAGGGCCAGAAACAGGGCTTTGAAGCCTATTTCAGCACGCAGCCCTAACGAGTGGCTTTCTGAGAACCTCTATAATAAGTCTCAGCAATCAAGCCTGGAAACCGGGAATGCCTGGATCACCCTGGACATGACATTCTCTGTGTCCATTCCTTACTCCTCCCCTGAGCCAGCCAGGCCCCTGCCTTGGGGCAGGACTGGAGCTGGTGTCCCCTAGAGAGGAAAAGCCCCGTGTCCCCATTCCCTGCCCCCCTGAGCCAGCTGTTCCCCATGCCTTGGGGACGGATTGGAGCCAGAGTCCCCTTGAGGGTATCGATCCCGTGTCTAATGCCCTGATCCACCCTGGCTCTGCGAGTCTTCTCCCAGCATGCTTTGGGGAGCGATGGTACCATACAATTGTGACTGGAGCCACTTTGGCATTCCTGTGCTTGGCGCTAGCACCCCGAGGGTTGGCATTGGTGTCACCTGGAGAGAAGGGGGATCTGGGGGAGGCAGTGAAGTGGGGCCAGGGGCACTGCTGTTAACCCCTTACTGTCCTTTCTGTATTTCAGTGACTGGTGGAATGGTGCTGAGTGGATCAGTCCCTTCTCTGCGCTGCCCGTCCTGAGCTCCAGCGGCGCTGGAAGTCACTGTGCAGGTGAGTCTGTCCGTACGCTGCGCCCAGGCGGAGGTGGCTCATTGCTGTGGTGCAGGGAGTGTGCGGGAAGCTCCAGATGTTTGGTTTGACGTAGGACAATGATGTTGGGTAGACACCCCCGGGTACTGCAGCTGTTCTGTCTGCTTCAGAGACCTCCCATGGCCGGCTGACAGCCATGTACGGGAGGGACAGTTCGGGGCTGCAAGGTGCACCTCCGAGCCAGGTATCTCCTCAGCTGTCAGTGCCCCACCTTTCCAGCCTCCTGCTCTTCCAGGCCAAGGTTCCTCCATCCAACTGCAGTGCTCCTCACTCCTGACTCGCAGCCCCTGCTCTTCCAGCCCCGGGCTCACCTCCCCAGCTCTGTCCCTGCCCGCCGCTCGTCCAGCCCTGGGCTCCCCTCCC